TCTCTCTTTACCCTAGGGCCTGGAAAAGAGGTGGGTAAGCACAGGGGCAGGGCTCCTGAGCCTGGGTCTCTGCCTCCATTTGTCACCACTGCATTGCTTGTCCAGTCCCAACCCCAAAGTCATGGTCTTCTTTCAAAAGTATCCTCTTTCCAAAAAAGAGGAAACAATAATACATAATAAATGTTGTTATGTAGTAACCTGTCACATAGGTCTCTGCATATGACCTGCACCAGGCACTAAAATGTCTGGCTGTAATTCCGCTTCTACGAATACAGAAACCATAAATAAAATGAAGTCAACTAATACCAGTGACTTTACACTATGGTCCGTTGATCCACTGAGTCAGGCAAGGCCTTGCTAGTAGTCTGCAGAAAAGTGGCACATCATGTTTGCAATGCAGAGTTCAGGCAGTTGTAGAAGGGAAGCCACAGGATGCTGTGCAGAAGTCAGCCATCTTCCACAAGTAGTTTTCTGACTGACTCAGCCTACATGAACACCATGTGACCTGTCGGCTGGGGGGGCATGGCGAGCTCCTGCAGGCAGTGGTGGCGTTGTTGGTGGCAGGAGCATGGCAGTGGCAAGCAGGGAGCTCCCGCAGGCAGCTGTGGCACTATCAGTGGTGGGGTGGTGAGTGCTGACCAGTGATCAGCAACCACCTGCAGACACCACCAGCAGCATCAATGGTGCCTGTGGCAATCATGGACTGCCTGCAGACACCACCATTGATGTTGGGTGGGGGGGGTGGGCAGCAAGCAGCGACCACCTGCACAAGCTGCCAATAGTGTCAGTGGCACCTTTTTGCAGGGGGTGCACTGCCATGCTCAGGGGTGCATGTGCACCCATGTGCACCCCCTACGTGTTGCTAATGTCAGTCTAGCAGAGAGCCCCCTTCTTCACAGTTTAGCTTTGCTAACAACAGACTATCCCTGTGCCTAGTTACATGTTCCAAGGTTTCACTCATACCAACACTTCAGGACAGCTTGTTTTTTCTATTAAGGGGCCAGATGCTAGGGGTGTGAGAAGTGAGCCCTATTCGATTCAGATTCAGCCTGAATCAGGGACAGTGATTCGATTAGTTGATTTGGATCACTGTCCCTGATTCAATTCAGCTGAATCTGAAGATTCAATGCTGATTCAGAGAATCAGTGATTCAGACATAGGCACAGCTTTAAAAGTTTTTTCTACATACCTTGAGCTAGCAGGTGTGGCTCATGATCGCTGCAATGCTGGGGTGCATGGAGTGTCCCACAGGAGTGCAGGGGGCCCTCCACGTGCTTGGCGGTGAACCCGGAAGTGGACCAGAAGTACTTTCAGTCCACTTCCGGGTCTGCCAGGGAGCGTGCTGGGGACCCCCCATGCCTTCCTGGTTTGGTGATCAGCCACAGGGGGACCCTGGGTGCCCCCCCCCAACCCAGAAGGCACCAGTCACAAACTCCTTCCCCCACAAGACCCTAGCCAGCAAGCTATGGGGGGCCCTTGCAGTGGAGGCAAGGGGCTTCTCCCATCTCTCTCTCCCCCAGCCAATGCTGACAGTTGCTAGGTAGTGGAAGGGCAGGGCTGGTGAGAGGGTCCATTTTGGCAGCCTCCTGGGAGCACCCCCCACCTGCTGGCCTTGGCCATTACAGGCAGAGACTTAAACTCCCCGCCCCGCAAATGCCTGTTCAGTTCATTCCTGTTCTAACTGATAGCACTTTAAGTATGATAGAGCACTTCTGCCAGGGGCTTTTTGAATGTTTGTACTTAGCCTTGATGGGTGCCCATGGCACGAGAGCTTTTCCCCCCCACCCAATGTCTCCTGATAACTGCAGTCAGGAGCTTCAGTATGGGGCTGCCCAGCCTGGCTTTTTGCTGTGCTGGGAACTGGGTTTAGGGGGAGAAGGGAATCTCTCTGCTACTCAGACTCAGCCCAGACCCCAGAGACCCCAGCCAGCAAGCTGTGGGGGCGGCCATCATGACACAGGGACTCCCTTCCCCCTTCCCTGCTGAGCCTCTTGTCAGCAACAGCCAGAAACTGCAGCACAGGGCTCCCTGTCCAGGTTTTTTGCTGCACTAGGAACTGGGACTGGAGGGGAAACAGAATCTCTCTGCTGTGAGTACTTGGTGGGAGCCTGACCCCCACCAAGACCCAAACTTGCAAGCTTGTGCCGCTATCTGCATTGTAGAGAGGCTCCATTTCCCACCAAAACCCCTCACCCAGGTGTGCAGGGATGAGACAGAGCCTTTTCTGTTGCCTCTCTGTAACAGCCTGGGGGCACGGCTGGGCACCAGTGCTCATCCAGAGCAGACAAACACCAGCCAAGGCTAGCAAGCCACTCAACAAGAAACCCCTTGAATGGCAGCAGAATGCAACCTCCATTGATCCAGGATGGTTATGGTATAGATGTTCAAAAAAGTGCTCTAACCTAAAGTGGTTTAATGTAATACCGCATCCATTGAGGGTTAATTTAGAGTGGGATCTGCCATTTTTAAAGCACTTTAAGTGCCATGAACATCTGTTTTGTTTCAGCTTTAAAGAGCTTTCCTCATGCCTAATGCATATTAATTGTAACATCTGTACCTAGCCCAAATGAAAAGAACACCTATCAGCTTGCTCAGGTATAGCTATTTAAACCCATTCATGGCTGGTGCAAGAGTTATGTTCCCCTTTAGACACCACAAACACAATATAATATCTATACTAGGGAAAATTTATGAAGGAAATATTTGACTCAGCAGTGGTGATAGATATTTTTAACAAGCACCAGTTAGAACTTCCTGGAGAAACTCTGAATATTCAGTTCCATACAAACTGAAATCTTCATGAAACTGGGTTGGTTTTGTTGGAATTTAATTTTCTTAACAACAGGGAAAGTCCTGACAATGTTAAAATATCCCATTTAAACACTTTTGGAATTAAATCTCTTTTTTCTCTTTGTAAACAACATTTTGTATCAAAATATTATTTTGTGTTATACTACAGTAGTACTATATAAATAGTATTACTATCTATTACTATCTCATAATCATCAGCAGTCCCCCACAGTTGAGGATAGTTTTCTTCTATGAGTGTCTTATCTGTGGTCCAAAGATGACTGATAAGGCCTATCCGGGATCGATAGATTGCTGAGCTTGGGCATGCGTTTCCATGACGGGTGGGTGACTCTGGTTTCTCGATTTGACCTGCAACACACTGTTTCTGCTGCTTCCATTTTTCCATCTCCTGTTCTCATCATAAGGTTTTGGAGTACTAAGATCCTTGCAACAGACTTCCTCCATTCATGGCAGTCCTGAGCAATAATCTCCCACAAGTTGATGTTATTGTTGCAATTTTTCAAGTTGTCCTTGAGGTCATCCTTGAAGCACTTTCACTGCCCACCTCTTGAGTGTGCATCTAGACTGAGCTGGGAGAATAAAACTTGCTTTGGGAATCTGGAGTCAGACATTTACATGATGTGGGCATCCCAGCAAAGTTGTATCAAATGATCATGACCTTGATGCTCGTGGTATTTGCTTGCAAGAGGATGCTAACATTGGTGTAACTTTCTTCCCACTGGATTCAAAAGATCTTCCACAGGCAGCACTGATGGTACTTCTCTAGGGGCTTAAGATGTTTCCTGTACGTTGTCCACGTCTTAGCTCTGTATGATAAGGTGGGGATCACAACTGATCTCCATAAACCATGAGCTTGGTTTTGGATCTGATGTCATGATCTTTTAACATCCATTTCTTCAAATGTCCAAAGGCTGCATTTGCACATTTGAGGCAATCTTGGATTTCTTCATCAATGTCAGCCTTCTGTGAGAGAGAGCTTCTGAGGTACAGGAAATGCTCAACTTTCTCCAGAGTCTCACCATGAATCTGAATTATCAGAGCTGGGGACTGCTTATTAAGAATGTATTGATGGAGGACCTTAGTCTTCGCAATGTTAAGTGTTAGTCCTATTTTCTTATATGCCTTAGTAAAAACATTGACAATTGCCTGAAGATCTGCTTCAATGAAAGCACGCTACAGCATCATCAGTGTAATGGAGCTGGATGGTTGAGGTCGGGGTGGTCTTGTCTTAGGCTCAGAGTCAGCTGAGATTAAACATCCATTCATTAGTTTAGCCACATTCCAACTGGAAGCTTGTTGGTGGTTATATGTAGCATTGCAGTAAGAAATATCAAGAAGTGTTGAAGTGATGATGCAGCCTTGCTTAATGCCCATCTTAATCTCAAAAGGATCTGTGATAGAGAACATAGTAAATAATATATTACTTTGTACTGTATATTATGATACAGACAACTGAAGTCAAAACAAAACATTTCTATGATACAAAAGGATTTTTGCTGGAATTTTTCTTCATAGAGAATTTTGAGTTTTCAGGTTTTGCTTCCATTCAAGATAAAGTTAACATCTAAAATCTTGACCCTTTTGAAATACAACTCCCCTACACAGCTCTAGAGCTGAGTGAAAGCATAACCCTGCAGATGGAACCACTTCTAGTACCATTCTAGTTATGCAGGCCTAACCGACACATTAGTAAAAAATGAATCCTGAGTAAAAATTGTTTGAAACTTCTGTGGCAAAGCTTTGCTGAGGGAATTCTCTCAACAGGCAACTGATTGCTTCTTACTTTAAAAATTCTACATTTTATAACCACACATAGCTGGGTTAATCAAAAACTTCAGTAGTATATAGGAACACCACCCTTCAATGCAAATGTGGCAGGTGGGCGGGAACAGAAGTCCTGCCCCCAACACTCCACCCCCTTTTCCCCTTAAATAGTGTGTGACATCACAAACCCTTCCCCACCCCAGTCATATGGTGTGTGACGTCACAAACCCCACCACTGCCCCAGTCACATGGTGTTACATCATAAATCCTGCTCCCATCCCAGTCACATGGTGTGTGACATCAATAACTCCACCCCCACCCCAGTCACATGGTGTGTGACATCAGTAACTCCACCCCCACCCCAGCCACATGGTGTGTGACACCACCACCACATGGTCCATGACATCAGAAGGAAGCCTATTCAGCCCCTGAAAGCCTACCACTCATGCTACAAGACCCACCCTAGACCATGTGGTACAGTTATGACCTATCAGGCCCCAGACTGTTCTAGCCCCCTCAGGCATAGGCAGTGGGCGGGGTGTGACCACTCTAACAACCTGCCACCACCCTTGACCAATTGGCAAGGGCTTCAGAGGCCTCAGACCTCCCCAGGAATGGAGCCAAACCAACTGGAACAAGTAGAGGGGTGGGGCTTAGGCTGCAAGTACACCAAGTCTATCTGCTTTCCCAAGCAAACCCTCTGTTTGTCTGAGACCATGCTAAGGCAAGCAGGGGCAGATATGGATTCTTACACAATGCTTGAAGGCCCCTCACCACAACCCCAAGACTTGTTAGACGGCTGCATAGAAAGAATTACTGTAGAAATAGTTTTGAGGAGGAGGGCAGTCCCCTAGCCCAAAGGCTCTTTGAGACACCTGACCCTGTTCAGGAAGCCCCAGTGAACAGGTAAATGGAAGAGGCCCAGGCCCCCAAAGCAAATGTTGAGAATTTGGAAGAGAGTATCCTTGTGCCAGAGCCTGCATGGGAAGTAGAGGTCATCACAGAAGAAGAGAGGCTGGTAAGAGACTTGAAGCATGGTTGTGGGGGGCACTTAGGTTTTGATAGTGGTGTGGGTTCAGTTCATAGTGGGTATGTGTTTGGAAGCTAAGGGCTGATTAAACAGCAGCTAACTAAGGTTTAATTTGAACTTCTTTGCAGTTAGATGAAGCCTTTATAATGACTCAAGAAAACCTGCTCACCAGTACACCTGTAAAGTCAACACCAGATGGAAGTGGCTGTTTTTGCAGAGAACAGAGACTGGATGAGGATGAAGAGTTTAGAAGACAATCAGGCATTGATTCATCAGGTCCTGTTTCATGTCAAGAATGTAAAATCTTCATCAAGTCTCTTGTGCACATTTCTTTTTGTGGCATAATGAAATACTGTTTGAGGATGAGACTATTTGAAAAGTGTTGGGGTTGTGTTCATGATCGGGGAGTCAAGGTGCTCATGATTGTGTTACCTGGTTAGATGAACACATAAATGAAACAATTCAGGAACTGCCAGGAAGTATGTCTTGAGAGCATTTTCAATGCTGTTATAGCTATTGGCTTTGCCAGGAACATTCTCAGAATTACTGAGAAACATTTACTTCAGGCTAGTGAGCTTCCAAACACTGTGTATTCTGCAGAAGATCTTAATGCTGCTCTTTATGATTTGATCACTGAGGAAGATAAACCTCTCATACCCTATATTGAATGCTTAATTGGTACTAGAAATTATAAAATGCTACGTAAGAGAAGAGTTTAGCAAAAGCAGTTTAAAACAAGTTTTACAACTTTTACTGATTTTTTGTGCGGGAGGGGTAGTAAAGAAGTAAAGCACATCAACAGTTTTCAGCTGCCTAAATTAGCATTTGCTTTAGTGTCTTGGATGTCTAAGCACATACATATGGGGACTTTTTTGTAAAGACAAAGCCAATGAGACTTAATGGTTACTAGAATTTGTAAAAAACCCTTCTTAGGAGAAGGTGTCACGGCACAGGGTCCTAGGAGCGGCCGTGATCTCTCCTAACGCCCCAGCCGTGCCAAGTTAGGTATAAAGCACCCTCGTTCTCGCCCGCCACATCTTTGATGTTATCTGTGTTTTTAATGGAGGCTGCCTTTTGTCCCCTTGGGCACAGTGCTCTTGTTTATCCTGGACCCTGTTCTGTAGGGATGGATTTTGTGCACACCAGCCTTATGGGCTATGCGTGGCTCCAACCTCCCCTCTACCATGCCCCAAGCCTCGCTGATGTACCGGACGTTGTCTGGTCAGTTTCCTTTCTGCACCCTGACTGGTGCCCCCGGGCTTGTCACGCAACCGGCACCCCTCACTGGCGCCCCCGGGCTTGTCACGCAACCGGCACCCCTCACTGGCGCCCCCGGGCTTGTCACGCAACCGGCACCCCTCTGCTTGCTAGCCCTCTCGGGGCTTTTCTCGGCATGCTCACCCCTTCGGGGCCTCTCTGTGCACCTGCCTGTATAGGATCGCCCTCCCCTGGGGCTCATCTCTATAGCATCACCCTACTCTGGGCTTCTATTCATGTGTGCCCACCCTGGGGCATAACACGAGCACCCTCCGGACTTCTTGCCGGTGCCCACACTGGTGCCCCTTGCAACTGGGGTTCAGGTGGCCTTAGCCTTGCCTGGCCCCTAAATCCCCTGCTTGGGTCAACAATTCCAGTGGGGTCCCAGGCAGCCTCGTCCTTACCTGGCCCCCCATCCTCTGTGCCCCTTCTCAGGGCTGGGATAGTGCACTCCTAAATGCGGTGCCCTCACTGGCACTGGGGTCCCCACCACTGTGGAACCCCACTGAGGCCTCCTTCAACCCCTGTTAGCCTCACCCGGTCCTCCGCTGTAACGACAAAGTAAAACCATAAGCCAATTGGCTACAACACAAAAATAAGCCTCCTGACTGTAACGCAAACTCTAGCCATCTAGCTAAAGCTCCATCAGACCCCTACCAGGGGTTTCTCCTCACCTGGGAGCTGTTTCAGGCCCTTGGACTTCTCTCACGGCCTGCTCCAACAGAGCTCCTACTTCCACGGCTGCCAGAAGGGAACTGCCTTCCTGGCCTCAGCCTGGATCACCTTTATATAGGTCAGACCCTGCCCCCTTCTGGTCAGCTGACCAACTGCAGTTGCCCCGGCAACCAACACCTGTCCTTCTATAGGAGCAGGGCACCAGAGTGCCCCTGCGACAGAAGGGTTAACAAAATAAACCAGTAAATATTGTAAAGGCTTTTCATGGAAATAAAGACTGATTTTAAAAATATATTCTTACAGGATTTGTATGCTATGGGGGGTGTAGAGCAGTTGGGGGTGCTGAATTTCCCAAGAACCAGGGGATGTGTTGTAAAGATAAACCAGACCACAAAAAAACTGACCTGTGTGTTCAGAGCTCTACATATTTTAAGACTAAAGGGGTTATCTTTTACCAAAAGGCCTGTTGTAAAGATAAAGCAAACGAGACTTAACGGTCATGAAAAATGATTAAAAAAACCTTCTTAGGAGAAGGTTTAACAAAATAAACAAGTAAATATTGTAAAAGTTTTTGATGGAAAGACTGATTTAAAAAATATTTTTTTACTGGGTTTGTATGCTATGGCGGGGTGTAGAACAGTTGGGTGGGATGAATTTCCCAAGAAGCAGAGGGGTGTGTTGTAAAGATAAATCAGACCACAAAAAACTGGTCTGTGTGTTCAGAGCTCTACATATTTTAGGAGTAAATCTTTTAGTGGTGACTCTGTTTTAAAACAGTTACATTTTACTTTATACATACACTATTTTCCTTACTGTATTATTTAATTTTTAATATAGAGGACTTACTTATTGTATCATTTCATTTATATTACAGAGAGCTTATCTAGCAGGAAAGTCACGTGCAATTTTACCACAGTACAGTAAAAAAATATTTTAAAATGATGGGTTATTTATGGCTGTGTTAATATAAGCACACTAAGTTATAACAACAGTCTGTAACTGTTTGTTTTCAAACAGAACCCCTTCTAAAATAGAAAAGAAGACCAAACACATACATTCATGTTTTTATCCAGTAGTAAAAAGTACATTTTCTGAAATCAGCTTTTGAAATTTTATGTGTTTCTTGGGGAGGAGAAGTTGGGGTGGGAGGAATGGTGTATGAATTAGTCCCCTGTGAATGTGAAGATAGAGGGTGGGGTTAGCAAATTTTAAATTTGTAGTGTGTGAGGAAAGTGAATTCTCAGTGATGAGATGTAAATTTTATATTTCCTAAGTGATCACATGCAACACTCCCAAAGAAGAGTGGGGACTAGGTCAGGTCAGAGACCTCAACAAACACTATAAAAAAACCACAGAAATGCTCAGCCTGCAGATCATAATGCCCAAGGATCAGAAAACAATCAGGACAGAACAGAAGGTCATGGTTCCTCTGAGGAAAACACGCCACCTACCTCTGAAAAAAACATGTAAAAACAAGGATTCACACTCCCCAAAACAGGTGATCTGGGTCCTGTGAATAAGAAACCCAGGACTGGTTGCTCACACACTTTAGAGAAAGAGGGGGGGGGGTCTTCCTCTTTTTTTGAAAAATTATGATTACTGTGAAAAACAAAAGATGGAGTTTTTGTGGGGTGTCTTGAAAGATCATGATTATTGTAAAAAAAGGGGGGGGGGTTTGTGGGGGTAACCACCTTGCCTTGAAAGATCATGATTATTATGAAAAAAAGAGGGGTGGTTGGGTGGTGCTGGCAGGTGTATACATCTCAGAAAGAGTGTGCAGAGTGCTTTGAAAGATCATGATTGCTATTGGAGCAAAATGGGAAATTTTATTCAGAGAGGAAGTAGTCTATATAACCCAGACAGCAGTCATGGCATCCATCATAAGAGGGGGAGTCATGATAAACCCGGGGATAAGAATGGGTGGCTAACCAGCAAGTGGCTCATGGGGCGAAAAGTAAGGGCCTGGTTAAAGAGGATCATGGGGAAGGCTAAACACCTGTTGAGAAAAAATAAGGGATCCCCTACTAATGGTGTTTTAGAAGGCCTTTTAGAGGGCCCCTTAAATACTCCCCCTTCTCTCAGGCCTGACCCTCCACCAGGACCCATGGAGCCAGAAAGGGGGGATAGCAAATGTGATTTAGGAATCCCTTTAGAGGGCCCCTCAAGTGTTCCCTGGCCTCCCAGGCCTAACCCTCCACCAAAACCTGAAGAGTCAGTTGAGATAATGAATCTGATTTAGAATACCCTTTAGAAGACCCCTTAAATGCTCCCCGGTCTCCTGAGTCAGCAGAGGATGTTTTACTGGGCATACATATGGGGCAAGTGAGAAGGCAAGAGTGGTCTGTAGCTAGGTTTGTGGTTATGAGGTACACAGATGAGTTCTGTTTTGTGAATCTGAAGCATGTGCCATTACACATGGTATACAAAGCCATAAACAGAGGGGTAGAACAAATTGTAGCAGAACTCTGCCAGAGATTCACGGCCAATGACTATGCCCAGTTACATGTTCAGGCAGATAGCATGGTGAACTGTTTATATTCTTCATCTATTCATTTAAACCAGATGACCCCAGGGCTGTTTTTAGAGTGGATCAGTAACCTGTTACAAAGCCAGAGAGAAATATTGCTTGATTCGACATTTCAACTGGTTATGGTCATTGTGAGAGGCACAGGTGGTAGGAGCTGTAGAGCTATAAGTGCTATCCACTATTCCCAGATCATTTCTAAAAAGAGGAAGTATTTAATCAACCTGAATACCTTTGATACTAACCTGTGCTTTGCAGGCAGTCTATTGGCTGTTACAAAACGTGGAGGGGCCACAGATACCGAACTGCCAGATGGTGCCAAAGAGCTGCACAGGAAATTAGGCCTGTCTATATATCAAAAGGCTATGCTTCACCAAGTACCTTTGTTTGAAGACCTTGAACAGGTTAACATTCATATAGTGGAGCATAAAGAAAAAATGGGAGGAGTTTATTTAAAACACAGGACACACCCAGATACCCCGACATCTGTTTTCTTTTGCTTCATGATGAACATTATTATGGTATTTTGGATATGAAAAAGGTGTTTGGCTTGAGAAATTATTGCGATCTTTATCAGATGTTATACCATGCGTGCAGGTTGCAATGTCATCTTTGCCTGAGCCCAAACTGCCCTGACAACATGGGCAAGACACAGAGGTGCCCTAATTGTAAGCTGTTCTGTCATTCCAAAGAGTGCTTAGAAAGGCACGTGGCTCTGGCCTCTGAAAAGCAGATTGAACATCTGACTAAAACTTTGCGTGGTGAGTGTAAATCTTATGTGACCAAAGCACGAGTGCAATGGGAGGTAGTGCAAGCAGTGTTATGGGAAAATCATGGATGTAAACAGGCACTGGTGCTTTATGCACCAGATTACAAAGCCTGAAATAGGTGCATGGTACATTTTTTATAATTTTGAATGTATGCAGGTGATGGGATGCATGTGCCCAACTACATTTTTGCAATGGAGTTAAAGACAGGGCAAAAGACCTCAGAAAGCTGCAGGCAGCAACCCCAAAAAGGTTCATAAAGCTAAGGCCAAAAAGCACTTGGGAGTTTAAGGATGAAGAGTGTCTTTGTGATTTTATTCAG